GACTACAACCCTCTGTTGCCTGTCACTTAGCCACTGCCTTACCAATTCATCAATATTGGAATCCAAACTTAAAAATTGCAGTTTATTGATAGGCCTTCTATGTGCAACAGTGTCGAAAGCCTTACTGAAATCTACTTAAGCAATGTCTACTGCACCACCCGGATCTATTATTTTAGTTCCCCAATCAAAAAAATCAATAAGATTAGTTTGGCATGATCTCCCTGAGGTAAACCCATGTTGTCTTTGATCTTGAAATCCATGTGTTTTTAGATGTTCAACAATCCTATCCTTTAACATGGTTTCCATTACTTTCCCCACTACTGAAGTAAGGCTTACTGGCCTATAATTGCCTGACTCCTCCCTACTACCTTTCTTGTGAATTATTATTATTATGTTATTTATATAGCGCCATCAAATTCCGCAGCGCTTTGCAATGGGTGGACGAACAGACATGTAGTTGTAACCAGACAAGTTGGACACACAGGGACAGAGGGGTTGAGGGCCCTGCTCAATGAGCTTACATGCTAGAGGGAGTGGGGTAAAATGACACAAAAAGGTAAGGATAGTATTAGACTAGTGACAGTTGCAGAAGAGGAATCAGGAACTATTAACAGTTTAAGTGATACGCTTTTATGAAGAAGTGGGTTTTTAACAATATTTTGAAGGAGTGGAGACTGGGTGAGCATCTAACAGAGGAGGGAAGTGAGTTCCACAGGAACGGTGCAGCCCTTCAAGAAATCTTGAAGGCGAGCATCAGAGGTGTGAGTACGGACAGAAGATAGACGTAAGTCTTCAGCAGATAGTAAGGGCCTAGACGGGACATACTTGTGTATAAGGGAGGATAGATAGGTGGGAGCAGCATTATGTAGCGATTTGAAAGCAAGAACCAGAATTTTAAATTGAGCACTATATTTTATAGGAAGCCAATGTAGGGACTGACAGAAGGGTGAGGCATGGGAGGTGCAGGCGGACAGGAAAATGAGCCTCGCTGCCGCATTCATTATGTACTGTAACGGCGCAAATTGGGAGCACGTAAGACCACCGAGAAGAGGATTACAGTAGTCAAGGCGAGAAAGGACAGTGGAATGAACCAACACATTAGTTGCATCTGGTGTTAAGTAGGGGCGGATCCGCGCAATGTTTTTGAGATGGAAATGACAGGATTTGGCGATAGATTTAACATGAAGCTTGAAGGAGAGGTCAGAGTCAAAGAGAACACCTAGGCAGTGAACCTGCATGGTGGAGCTGATGGTAGCGCCGTTGACTTGTAGGGAGACAGACACAGGAGTAACAACACATGAGGGAGGAAAGACCAGAATTTTAGTTTTGGTCAAGTCTAGTTTAAGGAAGTGGGCAGCCATACAGTTAGAAACAGCAGAGAGGCAGTCAGAGACACTAGTCAAGAATGAATGGGCACAACCTTCGCTAACTTCCAATCTTCTGGGACTACTCCTGTTAACAATGATTGGTTAAACAAATCTGTTAATGGTTTTGCTATTACACCACTAAGCTCTTTTAATAACTTTCTGTGTATTTCATCAGGTCCCATTGACTTATTTGTCTTTACTTTTGACAATTGAAATAGAACCTCTTCCTCTGTAAACTCACATGTAACAAATGACTTGTTTGTCCTTTTTCCTAACTGAGGCCCCTTTCCTTCATTTTCATCTGTAAATACTGAACAAAAATATTAATTGAGGCAGTCAGCTAGACCTTTATCCTCTTCTACATACCTTCCTTCTTTTGTTTTTAATCTAACTAATCCTTGTTTTAGTTTCTTTTTCTCATCTATATGTCTAACAAATGTTTTGTCCCCTTCTTTTAGTGACTGTGCTATTTTCTCTTCTGTTTGTGATTTGGAAGCTCTTATAACTTGCTTAGCCTCTTTCTGCCTAATCTTATAGATCATTCTGTCTTCCTCACTCTGGGTTTTTTTTATAATTACTAAATACTAACTTTTAGTTTTTTTTTTACTATTTTGGCCACGTCTGCGGAGTACCACAGTG